CCCCAAAACCCCAAAACCCCAAAACCCCACTCTGAAAAGTAGCTTTCAAATTATAAGAAAGTAAATTAATGATAATAACCTGATTCATAACTATTTTTTCCTAGGCATATGATTAAGAGGCTGCAGTTTAAGCTGCTATAACTAGTCTATAGATGGTATAGTATACTTTTGACCTCCACTAGCCCCATTATTCCCTTAAATAAGAGCATTTGAGTTTATAATAACTGGCTTATCAAGAGGTGCCAGCAAAGCATTAGCTTTAGAATTCTTTGTCAGCATACTTGGTTCTGGCGTCATCATAAGATGTGATTGACTACCGCTATTATATTCGTTAGAAGCCTGATTTAAGTTTAGATTAATTGATGAATCAATCTAGGACCATCTCATTTAAATAGGCACATTCTGTGTTTGCTAATTCATTTTCTATGGAGCATTAATTTATATACGTCCTCTAGACTAAACTCATTTTTACGCTTGCTATTAGTTCTACACAGTCGAGTATGAATTATTCAAGTTTTACCTTTGATTTGGCCTATCATTATACTCATTCTAATACTGCTATTTGTACTAACCACCTTTACTTTATTGACCAAAAAGTCCACTACTTACTCCCATCCTTCGATCATTTAGCAGGTCATCATCAGAATCATCTCCCTCTATAGACATATCTCTATTATCCTTCTCTTATTCCATTACTTTATATCCATTTTATTTCATAGAAGGCAAGGTTACCTCCTTTCCTCTTAGGATAAAAGGAGGCACAATCCAATCATTTTAGTTATCATCATATTAAGATTTTAACTTTATCTTTGCAATCTCCTCATCTTTCATTAGCATCTTTACCAATCTTTTATAAAACTTCAAATCTAAACTTTGCTAACGGATCGTATCTAAAAGTTCTTCTCTATCACCTTATTGCTCTTACTAGAAGTCCTGAATTTCATTTAGAGCGTTTTAGTATTTTTACTTCAGTTTTTCAATCACTATTCTTTGATCATTTACCTCATCTTACAAATCTAAGTACTATCTCTCTACCCCTAGCATTTCCTCCTCTTTTTTTCTTTTTTCCTCTAAAAGCTGCTTCTATTTTTTTCTCTAAGCTTTTAATTTTTTCTAATACTCTCTATAAGCCTGCGATTATTCCTTCTCTTTTTCTTCTAGGGCTTGTCCTCCATTAACTAATTTATACTCCATTTCCCGGATCATAGCCTCTAAATTTTCTTTTTCTCTCGCTTCTATTCTTAATTTTTCCTCTTTAAGTTAAAGTTCATTTTATATTCGTTCCTTATCTGCATTCAAATTCTATTTTTCTTTTTCTAAATCTTCCAGCTCCTTCAGCTTCTATTACATCTTAACTTAATTTTATGACTGTTCTTATTCACCCACTTGATCCTAATTTTCTTCGTCGTCGTCCTCAGTTTATTCTTTTTAAACTTATTATTTCTTCTTTCCTTTCTTAGGCTTTACTTATTCCTCTTCATCATCCTAATCGTTTTCATTTTCATCCAAAATTTTAATTCTTTTACCCTAACCTTCTAATCTTTTTATAAGATCATCTACACTCTCTTCTACTTTGAAACCCTGGTTTAATTAGTTTTTCATATTATTTTACATTGCCATGATTGCCTGATTCATTTATTAACCTGTAGCACCTTATGTTTACATTTAGGCAAGAAGAGCTCTAAGTTATTTAATTTCTTATTCATATTCTTTAAGTAAAGCATCTTTAGGATCCTCATTAATCTTTGGCTTATTCTTGATCTATTTTGCTCTGTTAGCATAATGTAAAGTAGATAGAGTTTCATCATAATTATAATCAGCTGGTGATAGAGCAGCTATCATTACTGTTTTGGTATTACCTCCTAAAGAATCTTATAATAATCTTGTAAGTTTTGAATCACGATAAGGGACATGAGTTGAAACCCCATCTACTAACGCTTTTATGACATTACCTAGAGCCTATAATTAGAGTATTAAGATTATATAAAAGTATACAGATAAAGACAAGTTTATATTTTTAGCTTCATCTAATCTAGCACCTGTAGCATGTGTTTTACTTTGTCTTTCGGATCCAGCAAGATCGACAAGATTTAATTTACCCGCCTTAATCTTTTATTTTCCTGTCCCATCCTAATCATAAATTAATATTAATTACAGTAATTACATTAACACTTTCTGCTGTCTCTATATAGATAGTAAAAATAGAATGACTTCTTGAAGAGTCTTTGTTCATAGCTGTCTCCCCAACTTTCCTATTTTTCATTCCAGCAAACAAAATTTTTTCTAATTCAGGAACACTCTTTACAATAACCGTTGTTAAGTCTTTTACATAAATACCTTTATTAGGATCTTCCTTTATTTGTAAATTAACTGCATTATTCTTTCCTAAAAGATCTAAAATCTGTTCATTATAGATTTCTAAGTACGAGCATCTCACTAAAAATTTCTTTTCTTTCTCAGATGCATCAATAAAACCGAAAATATGTCTGACAGTCCTAGGAATGATTCCCCTTTCATCCTAATTTAAAGCCTTATCATCTAATGAGGAAGCTGGACCCATCATAGTGTGTGTTTTTCCACAACCTGTCTGACCATAGGCAAACATAGTTCCATTGTAACCCTCAAGTACAGATTCAACTAAACTGAATCCGCATTCATCATAAACTTGCTGTTGATGTGAATCTTCCCCATATATGACATCAAATGTAAAAGTTCTAGGCAAGGATCCTTACTCTCCTGGCTTGAATAAATTGATTTGCTGCAGGGCTGAATCACACTATACTATTCGCGTGCAACCTATAAAACTCTTTTTAATGAGGCTAAGTCTATACCTCTATCAAATTCTTTTTAGTTCATAGGTCTAGTTCTGACCATGACTTTTACAGTCTCTGTCGTCTTCTATGGCATTATTTGAAGTTATATAATTTAGTTATATTCTATTTCGATATTTAATTTTATCAATTGCATTTGTTGCCTTCAAGGGGTTTTGGGGTTTTGGGGTTTTGGGG